CTTTACCCCTGACCCCTGACCTCCCTCTGACCTCTTACCCCTGACCTATGGCCTCTGTCCCCTGACCCCCTTACCTCTGACCCCTTACCTCTGACCCCTGACCCCTTACCTCTGACCTCTGACCCCTGACCCCTGACCTCCCTCTGACCCCTTACCTCTGACCCCCTTACCTCTGACCCCTGACCCCCTTACCTCTGACCCCTGACCCCTGACCTCCCTCTGACCCCTGACCCCTGACCCCCTTACCTCTGACCCCTGTCCCCTGACCCCTGACCCCTTACCTCTGACCCCTGACCTATGGCCTCTGTCCCCTGACCTCTGACCCCTGACCTCCCTCTGACCCCTGACCCCTGACCTCTGACCCCTGAGGCTCACCGGGCTGCTCTCCACAGGGATGCTGAAGGTGGTCTCCACCGTCCTGCAGCTGGGGAACATCAAGTTTGAGAAGGAGAGGAACAGCGAGCAGGCGGCCATGCCCGACAACACCGGTAACCAAAATACAGCTCCAAAACCACCCCCACACTCTAAAATACAACAGACTCAGCCCAAAAGTTCAGAGAGTGAAGTTAGGGGCAGAAAAATTAGCATTAATGTCAGATATTTGATTGATTTAACTGCTTTACGGGGGAAAGGAAGTGGAGTTTAGGTTAAAAAAAAAGAGCATTAATATGAAATATTTGACTTCCTGAAGTTCCATTGGGCCGTTTTATATTGTATGTAAAACTCTAATATGAATTATATGAAAATAATTAACTTGATCTCTTAACTTTACAATAGCTTGTAGTTTGCTGATTGGTTCAGAAATGTAGCCTTTCTCTATATAATTATTGTTATTATTATTGTTATTATTATTAATATTAGTAGTAGTAGTTGTAGTAGTACTATTCTCTATACTATGATTATTGTTGTTATTATTGTTATTATTATTATTATTATTAGTAGTAGTAGTAGTGGTAGTAGTAGTAGTAGTTGTAGTAGTACTATTCCCTATATTATTATTATTGTTGTTGTTATTGTTATTATTATTATTAGTAGTAGTAGTAGTAGTGGTAGTAGTAGTAGTAGTACTATTCTCTAAATTATTTTTTTTTATTGTTGTTATTATTATTATTATTATTAGTAGTAGTAGTATTTGTAGCAGTACTATTCTCTATATTATTGTTATTATTATTGTTATTATTAGTAATAGTAGTAGTAGTAGTAGTAGTAGTACTCTCTATATTATTATTATTATTATTATTATTATTATTATTATTATTAGTAGTAGTAGTAGTAGTAGTAGTAGTAGTAGTAGTAGTAGTAGTATTTTCTATATTATTTTTATTATTGTTATTATCATTTATTATGTGTGTTAATGCCCCCCCCCAGCGGCCCAGAAGGTGTGCCACCTGCAGGGCATCAACGTGACCGACTTCACGCGCGCCATCCTCACCCCCCGCATCAAGGTGGGCCGCGAGGTGGTGCAGAAGGCCCAGACCAAGCAGCAGGTACTTAAAGAACCTCCAGAGGAACCAAACACAGAACCAGACACACCAAGAGGCACCAAACACAGAACCAAACACACCCACAGGTACCAAACACAGAACCAAACACAGAACCAAACACCTCCAGAGGTACCAAACACAGAACCAAACACAGAACCAAACACCCAGAGGTACCAAACACAGAACCAAACACACCCAGAGGTACCAAACACAGAACCAAACACCCAGAGGTACCAAACACAGAACCAAACACACCCAGAGGAACCAAACACAGAACCAAACACCTCAAGAGGTACCAAACACAGAACCAAACACACCCAGAGGTACCAAACACAGAACCAAACACCTCCAGAGGAACCAAACACAGAACCAAACACCCAGAGGTACCAAACACAGAACCAAACACACCAAGAGGAACCAAACACAGAACCAAACACTTCCAGAGGCACCAAACACAGAACCAAACACACCCAGAGGCACCAAACACAGAACCAAACACCTCCAGAGGTACCAAACACAGAACCAAACACTTCCAGAGGTACCAAACACAGAACCAAACACACCAAGAGGAACCAAACACAGAACCGAACACCCCCAGAAGGAGCTCAGACACATTCACCTGAAGACCATAAAATGATCAGAAATAGACACAAAACTCCAATAAATGACCATAAAATTAAAGAAAACATTGAGGAAAAGACCAGAAAAAGAGACAAATTGACCAAAAACAAACACAAAACATGAAGAATGGACATAATCAAGAATAAAAAATCTTCTATCTACTAGACTTTGTCATGGTTCAGGTAGTTTTTCTTCATAGAGGCTCAATGGGTTTATCTTTACATTTAAAAAGTTTGTTTCTAGATTTTATTAAACGTTTTTTCTATTTGGTTCTGAGGGTCCAAATGACTTATTTACAAAATTTTAATTCCACAATAATAACATGATTAGTGTAAAATGTCTGAAACCATTTTCCTTTAGATTTCCAACATTAATGTCTGATAGCGTCTGCTATGAGGGCCACAGGTCAAAGGTCAAAGGAAAAACGAAAGATCCCGGTACAGAGGCAGAAACTCAGCGTCCTCCATCAGAACAGGCCCTCGGGGGGTTAAAATGGAGGCTGTACGGGGGTGTAAATCAGGCACGTGCAGAGGGGGGTGCTAAGGGGGCTTGAGCACCTGCCCCTTTTTCTCCATGATCCCAATGTGCCCTTTTGGTCCTTTATTTATTTATTTTCTTTTAATTTTAATTTTTTTTATTTGACACATGTACTGAAATTGTTATTATCATCTTTTTTTTTGCAATAAAAACAACACACTGAGCCCTCTGGTCACACTAAAAGGTTGCATTGTGCCCTTGTATGCATTTTTAACAGTTTAATTCTGTAAAGACAAAATATGTCTGGTGGTCCAGCTCTGATTTACATATTTTGCTAAATTGCAGGTTTGAGTATTGTAATACTTTCCTAAAATAAAATAGACCTGCAGAAAGAAATTACTTATAAAATATTTGACATATGCATAGTTCTATGTTCTATGTAGAGATTTTCCTTATAGCTTTGTATGTCTGACAATTTTGTAATTTATCATTGTTCATTAAACTCTGAAAGCTCTGTGACTTTTTTTTTTTTGAGCACCTGCACCTTTAGTGGTCTCTGCACAGCCTTGGTGTAAATGCCTGATCTGTGCCCCCCCCCCAGGCTGATTTTGCCGTGGAGGCCCTGGCGAAGGCCATGTACGAGCGGCTTTTCCGCTGGATCCTGGCCAGGGTCAACAAGACGCTGGACAAGAGCAAGAGGCAGTCCTCCTCCTTCCTGGGGATCCTGGACATCGCCGGCTTTGAGATATTTGAGGTGAGGCCGAACGATCGGAGGGCGAACGTTTATTTATTTATTTATTCAATTAGGACATTGCACAATAATGAACAATCTTATACCTCTGTACAGATTGTAAATGAGCCAGATTATAGCATAGTTGCTAATTTACATCTGTCGTCTTGAATTATGGATGTTCCCAATGTCTAGTCCCTTAATAATGTTCCTTCGGCTAAAATCCACCTTAGTCTCATTTATAGGGAACGGTCTCCAACATTTTCAGTTCTGGGTTGTTCCCAAAGCCAATCAGAAGCCAGTTTGGACTTAGACTTAGACTTACACTTGTGCTTTATTGATCCCTTGGGAAGACTCCCTCAGGAAATTAAGGTTACCAGCAGCTTAAAGGGCAAAAAGTATTAAGTT